AGGATGAAAGATGTTACAGTTAATTATTTTTAGGGAGAAGAAAAGAGTAGAAATGGGAAATGAAAAGACAAAAAGAAAATGATGATTTTTAAAAAAAATTATATTACAACCTATTCATATAAAGCTTTTTGTCCACATCATCAATTATTTTTTCACGTGGCATTTTATTCATTCACGTGTAATAACATGTCAACAATAAAAAGGAAAAAGACAAAATATTTAACAGATTATAGTGCCACTCTGTCACTTAACTAACGGAAGGGCTAAAAAGGGGCCGGATTTTGAAATTTAGGGACTAAAAAGGGGATTATTTCGGTACAGGGACTAAAAAGGGGTTTTTTCCTATAGTAGAGGGACCAAAAAGGGTATTTAACCTTTAATTATTAAATAATATATAAAAATTTTTACTATTTAAAAATTATTTATTAATTATTTTCATTAAAAATTATACAAAATCAAGTTAATCCCAAAGTTTGGATGGTGAAATTTTGTTTTATTCTTCCTAATTTGAACTTTTTTCAGTGGAAGAAACCGTCGGAGTAAAGCGAGTACAAGAGACGCGCACACGTGAAATCCAGAAAAAGAACGATAAATGGACGGTGGAGATGTGGAGATGGTTCCCATGTGATGGGTGACTCTTCACCTCTGGCACTTTACACGTAGGATTTGGAATAACCGAATAACTAACGTAAAGTCAATGCCATTTCCCGTAGTGGAACCCTGATTAACGTCGCTCAACCACCCGGCCACGGGATGCTACCATCCTAGTGAGGAGGGTGCACCACGTTGTACGAATTATCAGCCACCGCACCAATCCTTTGGGCATTTAATATCGGGCCACATGCGCCACACCCCTCGTGGTAGTTTCCTGGAATTATATTTTTAAGAGGGATTTTGCTTTTCTATTTCCTAAAATCAAGTATTAATAGTATAATTATTGCTTTTTGTATGACTTAATTTAATAAATATTTTAATAATTTTTATTTTTTTTATTTTATCTATTATCTTTAAATATTTTTATATTCATCTACTATCTTTTACTTCTATTTTAGTTTAGTCTAATTGGTTAAATTTCTACTAACATTTTCATTTTATTTAGTTAAATTAACCTCCAATTATATCTTTTATAAATTTTTACCCCTTAAAATTAATTTTAAGTTAAACTAATTTTATAAAAATAAAAAAAAA